CAGACGACATTAACAAGGATGCAGCACAACGTGGAACTTTTTCTTAGCAGCGAACTGAGACATAGTCCAAAGATGAGTGTCAAACTCTTAGGACGCGAGCAGAGGAACGATTTCCACCATAATCAAACCACGCCCTTATAAGATATGTGGGTTTTTCCTTAAATTTCTCAGTTTTGGTCTTGCCTCCAGAAATTTCTGTATCTACCGGAAGCAAGTTTCCAATCTAAAAGTGACATACACCAAGAGCTTTGGAAATTATGTCAGTGTAAATTCTTACCTATGGATGTGAATAGCTCCACCTTCATGCATATGAGGTTGTAAGCCTCTTTTTCATACTTGTTTTATTTGTCACTCCTCCAGAACCAAAGGTTATCTAACATAGGGGATTTCCTTTTCAATCGATCAAGTTGAACTACAAGCAGCCTAATTCCTAAGGTATAAGGATATGTAGGCGAGCTTAGTGTTGAAAAATCGGCTGCATTCCAACACTTGCTCTTAAATCCTATTCTGGAGCATTCTGGTCCCCTCATAATTCGGTACCGGAGTGACTTTCGAACTCTTTCAAATTGTGCGTTAAATCAAGCATATCGAACTATAAGTGGCTTGAATTCTCATAAAAAGTGAGTATGATAAATATGTGGTCGAACTAAAAGTGTCCGTTTTAATTCCTAAAGTTTATACTAAATCCTTCCCTAAAGATAAATATGTGGTCGGTCAAAATTGTCTTGGTCAATTTCATTTTCCTCAAATTTCTGGCATAAATCCAAGTAAAATGAGGGACAGTTGTTGACACCCAATTTTGACCCTCCCCAATAGAAATTAATTCACGAGCTTCTTAATTTTGGAACAATTTAAAATAATTAGTTTTATAAAATTTTAAGAAAAAATATAAAGTTTCATTATTTTGAATAATTTTGTTATTTTTTATAATTTTTAAATAATATATATATTTTACATAATAATGTATATAATTAGTATATTTTATGATTATTAAAAATTATCTAAAATTTTTTTTAGTTTTAGTAAAATATTTTGATAACTAGTGTGGTTTAAGTAATATTTTATATTTTTAGGTTAATTAGTTTATAATTAAATTAATTATTTTATTTTTGTTAAAATTAAGAAGCTCGTTAATTAATTAATATTAATTCGTTATTTAAGGTTGTCACCATCGAAATTTAGACCGTAGACGAGACCGGCGTCGTTGACCTCTTAAAGGTCGAAGACAAGCCTACTTACGTCATTCTTACTTTACATAGGTTAATTTTAGCGGAAAATTAAAAAACTTTTTTTTCTTAACATACCTATAAAACATTCTCATCAATACATAATTGTTCACCATCAACCATCTAACATTAAGAGATAAGTGACGGGAAGAAATAGTTCAATTCTTATTAAGTTTGTAATTGCCAAAATGGCACCAATACATAGTCTGGATAAAAACAGGAAAGAAACGCTAGTGGAACATGCTCCACTAGCTCAACTCTAAAACTAAGCTAGAATATAAAACAACATTATCCTCGAAAGCATGAGGACCTACCAAAGTCGGATGAATGCTGAACGTCCGGATAACTGCAGCGAAGATCTTGTAGCTCTATCGTCCACCTGTGCCTGCACCTAAAATAGTAGAGTTTGTATACGGTTAATACACACTTGTACTAAGTATGAGTATATGTAAGCATACACGAAGGACATGCATGATAAAGAATAGCTCTTTCCTAACAACATGAGTTTTGGAGGCCAAGTCAGTGGCCTTGCCAATTGAGATTAGGAAGGTTTCCAAAATTGAATTAGGAAAGTCAGTGGGCTTTCCAGATTTGGAATAGGAAATTTATGCCATGAGAATAACATACATAATCATACTTTTCACTTTTTCACATAAAACATAACATTTACACATAGCACATATCATATAGCATACAACACATTTTGCATGTAGCACATAACTTTTTTAATATCATTCATTTGTATGCCATGAGACCTTGGAATCATGGACTTAACATCAAGACATCCCAGAAATGAGGGATCAACAGATGGGACCTCAACTAGGGAGTCTTCATTAGAAAACACAGAGTCTGCTTTGTTCGTTCATACGTACTCCATTTCATTTCATTCATAGTCCAGTGTAAACACCAGCTATACCTAGGATGTAGTTTAAGACTTTCATTAGTTTTTTTGTGCAACGACCAAGAATGACCTAATGTCATTTTGTGAATCTAAATCACCTTTTGATTATCCTATCCTAACACATTTGGTATCATTCATCTCATTATGTGCATTATTTGAGGCTGCCCTCGTTCGTTCATTGGGAACTTTAAATTTAACCGACATAGATCATGTGAGCATCATGAAATCCAGTGTCTTCCCCACACCGAGAAGAGGTGGAATCACTGGCCAAAGTGATCAATATCACGCTAGCATACATGAGAATTTAACCCCGCTAGATCCCTATATTGGTTGTATAGGTTAGAAGACTAGGAGATGTAAGGAGACTCGTACCCAGAAAGACGGACAGTCTCATCTCATACGTCATGGATGCTGACTTCTAGTATGAGGACATCATAGCTCATTAGATGATTTATCATCTTATCATTAGTATTAAGGGTTTTAAGCTCAATACTTTCATTAGAGTGTTCATAGAGACTGGTCTCTTCATTAACTTTACACTCTCATTGGTGAGTACGTTTTGGTAACATTTAAGTAGGCTCATTTGAGATTTCTCTCATTTTTTACATTAGCCTCATACCATGTTGTCACCACATTCCTTATCATTATCACCTTTGCTTTTCATAGTTACTCACCTCTTATTACGTGAATATTCATTTCATCATATGCCAATGCACTTGGTCATTTAGTGTGTTTCATACCTTTACTTAACCCTTTTAGGGTTTAATCATTTCATTGTTCATTTACTCATTTCATTGTTCATCTCATATTATGCCGATGTACTTGGACATTTCGTGTATCTTACACTCATTCTTAACCCTTCTAGGGTTCATCAATTCATTACATACATCTTAGGTTCACATACTTTTGAACGTATGCTAGACTTATGAGTCTATACAAACAAGCCATGGTCTTTATTCATAGTTCATTAATTGATTCATAGATTCCTAAGATTATGTAGGATAAGACATGTATCTTGTATATATGTCAAGATCTTGGTTTCGATCTAAATATGTGGCATTATTCTTGGATATTTTGTTCAAGTATGACTTATTTATCGATACGGAGATTTGGGCAAGAAAACCAAATTCGAATCACTTGGATAACATTTACATTTTTCATTGATTTTATTTTTAATTTCCATAACATTGGAACTCTAAATGGAACTCCAACATTAACATTATACCTTGAATTTTATACTTGGTTTCCTATTAAATTGGCCGAAAGGTTGTGGCTTTGAGCCACCACAACCTCTTCCATTCTATTCTTTAGTTTATCGCCAGGGCATTTGGAGGTTGTGGGTTCGAACTTCCACAACCTCCTTATTTTTGTTTTTAATTTAGCTAGAGCATTGGGAGGTTGTGGTTTCCAACCCCCACAACCTCCTTATTTAAATTTTTAACTAAAACTCACTAGGCTAGGCGTTTGGCAGGAGGTCGTGGGTTCGATTCCCACACCTCCCTTTTTTTTTAATTCTTATTCTCTTCATACTAATCCAACAGACCCCATTTCGATTCTCCCCTGCCCCCTTTTCTTTTTCCGTACTCGCAAATTCCAGTAGCTAAACGGTGAGGTCACAGGTTCAAACCCTTGTGGCCTCACCTCTTTTAAATGTATTAAATTTCCAGATTTCAACCCCCTTTTTGAAAGAAATTTAAAGTACATTACGCTGGAAATTTATTCATAATTTTTATCTTTCTTTCATCAACCTTTTTATGTAAGTTTCTTAGGGCATTTCACCAAGCATTTAGTGCATCGTTATGTGTAGTTTAGTAGTTACATTAGTCAAGCATTTTCATTCAAAATTTGTAACTTCACACACCATATGAACATCACATTGTGCAAAATTTTAGCACATAAAATACAAGAATTAACATGCTTTTGCACACCTTCAAACAGTGACCAACTTCACTGCCACACATACACACCCACATCACTTTTTCACATGATTTCGAACAACATAATCATTATTCACAAAATTTTGAACATGCATACTTAAACATAAACATCACGAAAATACATTTCATCCCTACTTTGTACCAGCAAGCATACCTAACCTAAAGTTCAATGGGAGCTAGTGAAAAGAACATGCAAGAGGGGAACAATCCTAGTTTTCGGAGTGAATATCTTGACTCCTAAGGGGTATCTTGGGAAAGGAACCAAGAGGTAAGAAACTCATACCTTAATTGATGTTAGAACGTTTTGCTGCCAAAACCTTCCTCCAAAACTACGTCCAACTCACCTATAGTTTCACCACCAACTCGACGGAAATTTCCCTTGCTTTAACGTTTTTGATTAACTTGTTTTCTTATATTTTTCCCATGATTCTTCAAGTGTGAAGAACCTTTGTTATATTTTCTATTCTTCACGTTAATTGGCAGAGAGAAAACAATAGAGTTCGAACGTGAGAATGTGATAGATGTGAGAGAGTTAAATGTCTGAAGTTGTTTAGGCTTAGATAATGACTTAGTCAATTCAGGACTCTCATTAATACTTAAAATCTGATTTGATTAATTATACGTGAAAGGACCATTTTTCCCTTAAAATTTTGGATTTTAAATAATAAATAATTCACCTTAAGTATTTATCCTATTCATTTTTAGGGTTGTTACAAAGGTTTAGTAGAATTTGTTATTTGGCTACTTCTTAAATTTAATCCATCTTTGACTTTCAACTTAACTCAATTATGAGATCAATTTTGGGCCAAAATCCAATTCATTTTTTGATAGCATACTTATCTCCAGTTCACTTCGCTGCAGCCCATTCCAATACACTTCCCAGGCCCAGCATACAATACAATTAAAGAAAAAACATTCCCAATTTCAGCCCAATTTTCATTCCAAAAAGAAACCCAAAGAACCCCATCAGTTCAACTAACGTGACTCGACCCCTGCGCCTTCATCTTCTTCTCCACTTGAACTACAGACCCAAAACCAGCAAAATCGCGTCCAACTCCAAATGAAAATCAGAGCGTGAGTCTAGCAGCCTAGGGCGTCGTCCTCTCCCTCTCTCCTTATCCGTTTGCACGGAATCCAGGTGTCGAGATATCCCATCGCCTTTGTCCTCTCATTAGAAATCGAACGACTGCGATTATTAGTCTGCTGAAGAGGTATACAATTTTTCGAGCTGGTAACCTTATTCCTTAAAGAGAATTCAAATTTGAAATTCAAATTCAATCGGTTTCCCCCTCTTTCTGCCCTAAATCTCCCCTTATAAATATCCGCTCATTCTTCATTGTTTAGTTGGAGAAAAAAGCCCCGAAAATTTGGTAAAGGGTTGAGGAAAAAGGGTTGGAGATAGTTACAGTGAGTTGGAGTGGGGGGGGGGGGGGGGGAATGTGGAAGTTTAGAGTCAGGACTTCTTTTGAAAAGTCACATTTATAATCAAGAACTTTTATACGTTTTCTTTAATCCTAAGTTGTGAGACAACCTTTGTGAGAGTCTGGTTTGCATTTCGTGGTCAATTGCTCGAGATTCAAACTCGTGTGGTGGAAGAGCCCTTCCCTACTCGTTTGGTCTCATTTTGTTGGCTCAAGAAAGGTATTGGCGTTTCCTTTTGTATTTTGTTTCAATGTAGCATATTGCTCTGTTTTTGGTTTCATTCTTCTAACTTAAGTTTGTTGCATCTGTAAGAGTTGATCACATTTCTGGATATGACTTTATTTTATTTCTAAAATAAGAAAAAGTTATACAAATCCCTCCTTCATTTCGATATGTCTTATTTGAAAGTAGTAGCTATTAGCTAAGCTATAGGATTTTATTTGAGTGATTAGTATTAAGTTCTATGTATTCAAGATTGATTTGATATTATGGTTGTGACTAAGTGTTATATACAAGGATATGCTTATGGTTTCTAGTAATGTATATGTTACTACAGGGTTATGCCGTCAGTTACTGCAAATAGAAAACTTACTCATGATCATTTATTTATACACTATGCATTTTGTTTTATTTTTCGTTTTGAGCACCTAGATATCAATTATTTGTGTAAAATAATTCTTGTTCGCTCTATTAAATTTAACTCAAGTGAAAAGGTTCTTCGTTAATTCTCTTCCTTCCATTTTGCATGTGAAACTCCATCCGAGTCCCTTCGGACTCCCCGCTTAGCATATCATCGAGTTGGATTTCTTCGAGTTGGCTTCTTTGTTTTTCGAGTCAAGGGAACCGATGATCAGGGGTGAAACATCGATTCCAAGCCCCGAAAAGTTTGAAAACATGCTACATGTCTGCTATATACAGTGGTGTACAGGTAATGTCTACATGATATACAGACTTAAGTGCAGTGAATACAAGACTGAAAATTGAAATATAGGTCGCAGGAGTTGAAGAGCGTTGAATACACTTGGTATACAGTCCGATGTACATGAAAATCGGTCAAAATATGATCTATATACAACAATATACATTTGTTGTATACACAGGTGTTTGAGAGTGAAAAGGAGTCAAACTCATTCATTTGCAGGACAGGTTTTGGGACAAAAGCCCATGAGATTTAAAATTGGTACAAAGGGCCCAAATTCAAACTCTCCGTTATTCTATTTATTTATTTGTAATTGTCTTTCTTAACATTTTGGCTTAGCTTATTTAAATCCCCAAGATAATCATTTCTCTTTTATTTCTAATATATATATATTTATTACTTAGCTTTATTTTCACTATTACTCTTGTCAAAATATATATATATATATATATATATATATATATATATATATATTTATTACTTAGTTTATTTTTACTTACTTTTGTCAATATTTGAATTACTTCTCTTAGAAAATTCACCTTTAGTTTATTTCCACTTGAAATAATTAATTAGAAAATAATAGGAATAAGTAATTAAAAAAATATGAATTTTCTTGACTTGACTAAAAATTCGAAAAGTTAGTTTTAAAGTTATTTTTAGTCAAATTGCCAGTCAAACGCAAGTAAGCGGACATTCCGAGGGCCTAAAACCTTCTCGGAATATACAGTTGAACTTCGAACCCTTATTTAATTGATTTTATATGTTTAAATCTTTTGAAAATAATTATAAGATTTCTCTTGATTTTACTAAAAAATCAAGTGGCGACTGTTGATTCAGAAAGTCGATTTCTCTTAAGTCATAAGATTAATTGATATTTTTTCATAAAAACTAGTCATGACAACGAAGAGATTCGGAGATCGGAGTGGTGGTGCAGCTCTTAGGATTTTTGGATTTGTGGAGGTTGGAGAAGGAGGAAGGGAAAACGGCGAGGGTGTGCTGTGAAGATGAAGACATGTTAGGGATGTCACGATCCGAGTCTACACCCTGGATGAGGTCGACACTCGAAGACCATTGCTAGTCCCCAAGGGAACCCTCATCCTAGTTGACTTCAAGCGGAAGACTAACTTAAGCATGCAAAAGCTTAAAACAGATTTAAATCGTAAAACTCAATTACAATGCTTTAAATCAAATGAAAACTTTGAATAATCAAATTAAACTGGCTATCTATGAAGCTTCTAACTGATAAAGGTGGAAGTCGGGACAAGACTCACGACCTCCTAACTAAACTGAAAAGTAAATGAAATCCTCCGGAAGCAAGGAGCCTCACCATAGCTAACTCGAATCTCGGATGTATCAACGACGCTCCTGTTGAAGATCCTGAATACCTATGTTTGCATCATGAGAAGATACAGGCCAATTGGCTCAGTACATGGAATGTACGAGCAATTCAAAAGCATAACATAAGCTTGATACTTGATAAAAATGGAAACATACTTACCTCTTCTCGAACGTGTAACTCAAGGAATACTCAAAAATACACAAACTACTCAACTTACTTAACTCATCATATTCAAGGATAAGATACTCAACTCAGAGATTAAATAATATATTCAAAGATATGATAATAAACTATGGATACTCAACTCAATATAAAACAATAATACACATGTTATATGTAAAAGCTCTATAAAACAGTAAAAAGAACTTACTTCGTTAAAGAAAATGCAATAACAAACTCAACTTTACTTATATAAGAAAGTAATATAGTTGCTGTTGGAGATTTTCTAACTGAAAACCACTACTATAAGCGTAAGTGGTGATACAATATCTCTCCCACGCTGCCAAAACTATCCTATACATTGCCGTCGAATAGAACTCCTCAACTTAGTGGATCCACTAACTTAACTTACTTGATCATCCAAAACATATGACTCGTTAATACCTATGATGACTATATGATTTACATTGAGACTTGAGTCAATATGAACTCGCATCCCTACATCGATGCTCAATACTAGTACTCCCAAAATATACTTTAGCTCATGCTTTTAAAAATAACTTTCTTTCCTTGGGTTGAGATAATTTGCTCAACACTCTAGCTTTAGAAAGGATCTTCTGGAATCAATTTTTCCTTTTTTCTTATTAAAACTCTTTTGGAACTCTTAGTTTTTGTTATAAAATAATACATTGTGGGTGTCCACTACATCAAAAGGTTACTACATTACTTTCCTCCATTATGGAGATAATCCACTACACCAAGAAGTTACTAAATTACTTCCCTCCATTATGAAGGTACCCTCTACCTTTATGATAATTATTCTTGTAACTTTTCATATCCATAACCTCCTTCTTTATATCCATGTTTAATGTCATGTTTATGACTAATGTTTGTATGCCTCTATCTTACACTACACTTGAAGATTGAGTGAATACTTGAAAAAAAGAAAGTTATCTAATATTGTTCCTCTTGTCTTATATTCTTCTTGTCTTCATCTTTATAATATTCTTATGTTCCTAAGTTTTACAACACGTTATCAACACAAGTTGCCCATTCAACGTCAAAAATCAATGGTAGGTGATTTTAATGAATTATCCTAGTAACTTTTTGGTTGCATGGTATACTTCATATCCTATATATTATTTGTACTAAAAAAACTTGTTTTAGTAGTTATTCTAAAATGGTTAGTAAGCTATAATAATCTTCATACCAATGTTGAGAGGGACTAGTAAAATGTTTGAATTTTATTTTAACTTGGGGCTTTTATATGATTCTAACATGTTGTTCTAATTAATTGATTTTGTTCATTTTTCTCGTATATTAAGTCAAGTTCAGATTATATTTATGAATTCGGTAATTATTTATTTTTGGTAATGCTTTTGGTTTATCACGGCATTACTTAAGGGTAAGACGGTGAATTCATGTTATATCGCACCAAGTGGGTAAGACATCGAGTTAAAGTCTTGGTGCACCATGATAATAAGAAGTTGGGTTCAAGTCTCATTGATTTATACCAAATGTGTTTTTATATAGGTAAGACATTGAGTTTAAGTCTTAATGCACTATAGTGATGATATGATGATGACTAACATAAATGTTTATACTTTTGACTGAAAGTCATGAAATTTACCCAATTAATTTGCTTCATTCTCTTATGTTAATGTGGTAGCAGTGTACTAATTTGTCTGAAAAATAACAAGTGCTTGAATGTATGAACATGGGTATTGTAAAATGTTAATGGTCATCATTGTCATAATTAAAAGGAAGAACATTATGGGTTCTTAAGATGTTCCTTCAAATGTGAAGGTAATTTTGTCGATTAAAATTGTATAAAAGGTTATTGGACAAATTGTTTCTTAAGATGGTCTTTCAAATGTGAAGGTAATTGTTAAAAGTAACTTTTATCCATCAAAGGGGTATGAGAAGTTGGACACATTGTTGTAGGTGCAACCCAATTTTAAAGTTTTTTAAATCCTCCGTCAAAATAATGGAATACAAAGTGGTAGTGCACTTGATCCATTTGACCTCTTAAGGTGATGTTGAGGCGAGTTACCAAAACATGACAATGAGTTTCTGATAAAAACTTATGGAACATGTACAAATGGTTATGATTCATTTCTTGAAGAAAATGTGACTTGTGTTCGTATGGATAAGAACATGTTCATGTATTGTTGGATGAATGACACATTTCACCTCTACAGGAGGTTTGAGAGCTCGAATGAAAATATTTTGACATAAACGGTCATTTTGGTCATATATATACTTTGGTACTACACAAATATTGTGGTATGTTTTATAATGAACTATTGAAGTACAAAAGAAAGAAATAACTCTTTTCTGTAAAGGTTGTGGTATGGACAGAATAAATGTTATTGTGGTGCAACACAAATTTGTCATTGGTTATCAAGAAATAAGTCTTGAATGTAATAATTTAACCATGAAAATATTAATAATTTTCTCCTTGAAGGAGATGGTCATCATAAGGATGGCGTTGTGAAAATTCTGGTAGTACACAAAATTAATTGATAGTTTCGAAAGAGCTAATTTGTTACTATCTGGAGGAATTAAATTATTTATAATATTGGGGTTGTAGTAAGTCTCAAATAGACTTTTTAAGTTTCGAAAGACTTGAAACAAATATTATATTGAGACTATAAATTATGGGAAGATTTAATATTTTCAAACTACTAAAATCAAAGTAGGTAATAAAAACGTATAAGATTATCCTTTTTTCGTTGTTTGTTGCATACAAATATGGGCATGGTGATAGAATCACATGCAAAATTAAATTAGAAGTTTACTTGAATAATATCAGTTGGCATAATCGGTTGAAAATTCTAATTCAAATGTGATGCAAAAGAAATTGAGAATTAACGTGGCTATATATTGAAGAAATAAATGATTCTTCAAGAATTCTCTTTTGTAGCTTGTTCTCGAGATAAAACGACCATGTCGCTAAGGTTGAGATTGTATACCCTAAAATTATTTGAAACATATAAAAAGGTGAATATGGGTCCGTTCAGCTGCCATGTGGACCGTTACTATTATGATTTGACAGATGCATCTATGGTATGGTCACATGTGCATTTGTAACAACTTACAAGTTGGTTTTGTAAGGTTGTTTTATCGAATTATTATATTAAGAGCAATGTTCCAAACTACAAAGTCATTTTGATAATGCTGGTTGGTTTAGCAGAAATTGTTTGCCTCCAATCATAGCTAGGCCATTGATCACGATAACAAATCTCTCAAATAAAATTTGATATGATATGAGTTTATTTAACATGTATGCATCAATCCAACAAGCTTCTCCCAAAACAATTAGTTTAGAGTCGGGAACCAAATAATTTTTATCTAGAAATTTTATGTGTGCACATATTATTTTATTACTCCACCACACACAAAGATGCATCCCCAAATGAGGTTGGGGGTAAATGTTAGATATCCTAACACTTGGGGGATATATGTTTAGCTTCTGAGATTATGTGTGGGATGAATGATCTAGATCCCCGTCAAAAAAAGTGAACTTAAAGTTCAAGAGATAATTCATTTGCAAAATGTTGTAAATAATTTGCCAGATGTTTTTGCTGACCCAATATTTTAATTAAGCTGAAAATGCTACAATAAATAGTCATTGAAGGATAGAGTCTATGGTACACTAGTACACTAATCAATTCCAATTATAAAACTCCTAGAGAAAGGAGAGGATAAAATTATCAAAATGGTCATTGCTAATAAGGAAAGTGCTTTGAAAGAGCACAATGACATAACATTTTATAACACCTTGGTAAAGGTTCAGGTACCTAAAAATGATGAAAAGTGAAGAGTTCTCGATAAGCTATGTCGCATTGAAATCAATATCAAAATGATCGTCGACAGTATATTTGATATGAAGTTCACTCAATGTTATA